GTCCATTGCACTTGACAATTGAGATAAAAGGATGTGAACAGTAATTAAAGAAGAAACAATAAATGAAAAAAAGAAACAATAAACATGAAAAATGCTTAGCCTCACTAATAATAAAAAAAAATTTTAAATTAAACTATTCATGAACTATAAATTGTAATGTAAATAGTTGGCAGACTTTTAAATGGATAATATTCAGTATGTGAAGAAGTATGAACTCATATACTGTTAGTGAGAAGTCAGGCAATACTTATTAAAATATTAAATATATTTCATACCCATTGATCCAGCATTTCTTCTTCCAAAAATTATCACACACACACACACACACACACACACACACACACACAAAAATCACAAGAAAAAGAAAATAAACTTAAAAGATACATATTGCAGAATTTTTTATAATACTGAAAACTTTGAAATAATTCAGATCTTCTCAAAGGAATGATAAATTATGGTACATACATTCAGTAGTATATTGTGTTGTATATTATATATAGTATTATACTATATGGGTAAGATTTCATGTACTGACATTGATAGATATCAAAAGTACATTAATGATTAAAGCAAGGTACAGTATATGTATAGTATCCTACCTAATAAAAGAATAATATGCAAAATAACCATCACTCTGCTATACCCACAAGGCACGCCCACCAGCCAATCAGAGTGAGTATGCAAATAAACCCAACCAAGATGGCTATAGTAACAGAGAGCAGGTGGGAGGCTTGGGTTTCCCAGGCAATGAAGGAAGCCAAGCTATTTTGAAATAATAATGAACCTACAGTAGAGTTTCTAAGCTAGTACAGAGTTTCTATATACCTCCACCCACCTAGCTTCCCCTAATGGTAACATCTTACATAACTATGGTACATTTATCAAAAATTAAGAAATTAAATTGGTGCAACGCTATTAACTACAGACTTATTAGGGCTTACCAGTTTTTCCACTAATGACAAAGGGTTGTTTCTAAGATCCACTAGACTTATAAGAAATCTGAACTGTCTCCTGAAGAACAAGAAATGTCCATATATATTTATAGAAGTGACTGACCAGGTAAAAAAATACTTAAACATTCTACCATGGAAAGCAAGTTAGAGAAACATTAGGGAACAAGTAGGTAAATTTGTTCCTTTAGCAAATAGTGGGATAACTTAACTTTCCAAAAAGTTACTCCTCGTCTTCTCTTCCTCTCCCATTTATTCATATTACCCAGAAACACAAACAATTAATACCACCACCAGTTACATTTCCAGGTTCCCCTCAATCATGGAATATGCCATTTCCTGAAATCTGTGCTGCCTGGGCGCTCATCTCCAAAATGACTGGCTGTCACTTTTCTGAGCAGATCTCAGCCTAGGAATTTCTTCCCTTCCTTGGAGGCTGTACATCCAGATAGTCCATGTTTCTAATCCCACTGCTGACACCTACCAAACATCCTCCTGCTTTTTTAAAAACACATTGTGTTGGTTTCAAAGAATAAGGGAGAGAGATGGATGATAGAAACATCAATGATGAGAGAGAATCATTGATAAGCTGCCTCTTGCACTGCCTCTCCCCCCACCCCCCACCCCCCAAGATCAAGCATGCAACACAGGCATGTGCCCTAACTGGGAATCAAACTGTAACCTCCTGGTTCATCGGTTGACACTCAACCACTGAGCCATGCCGGCGGGCCTGCTTTTAATATGAACATTCCCATGTCAATTTTAACATTAAAGCTCATTTGACTCAGCCTCTTCATTTTACAGGTGAGATAACTGAGACACAAAGAAAGGAAGGGACATATTCAGGGTCAGTGACAGAGCGAGGACTCACCCTAATTCCAAATCAGACGCTCCTGCAGAAAGGACACTGTGTTGCATCTCCTTGGTGTTCCGGATCTGGATTCAGGCAGCCAATTATGGTCTAGAGGCAGATCTGCCAAGATGCTCAGCCTTGCTGGGTAGAATGAATAGTATGCTAAATGTCCCTTTGAAGAAAGAGGCTATGTTGCAACCAAGGGCCCTTGAAAACTTGCAGCATCATTGACTTCCCACTGCCTTAATCTAAGAAAATAGTTGGGGGGAAATTAAAACCGTGACACAAATGACATCAACTAGAATCTTACCTTATTTTGTGCCCCCACACCTACAGTAGAGACTATAGAGAAAGTAAAAAGAACAGTAAGAGACTTTAACTCAAGTTCAGGATTTGTGTGATGACTGGGTTCAGTGGGTGATCACCACTGTGAGATATGGCTTAAGGGGTAGAGAGGATCATCCATCTAATAATAATTACCACTTCCTGAGTGCCTATTTATGTCAAATGCTACATTACATGCTTAATATATCTTCTTTTATTCTCCACAATAGCCCTGGATGGTAGTTTCCAGAAATTAAGAAACTTGCCTAAGGTCACTTGGTTGGGTGGTGCTGTTATACAAGTAACACATATTTATTGTAGGAAATAAAGATAAAGAGAAGAAAATGTAAGTGATCCATAATCCATTATCCAATGATAACCCAGACTATCTCAATCCAATACTCTGTTCACTGTGCTGACCAACCTGCTTTTAGCTGTCCTTTTTGTCCTGTACTTTCTTGCATCTCTTTCTTCCCTGGATAGACTGTAGGCTCTGCTCCTTCCCCATCTGTGCTTCCCCATGGGTCCTAAAGCCCTGAACACCTGGCGTGACCTGGAAGTGCTGCCAGGAATGAGTTAAGGGTGTAGGCCTTTAATGCTGTCAGATCACACAGCCCTGCCCTTCCCCCTTTTGTCTCCACGCCAGCACTTTTGAACTTGTATCCTTAAGTGCTTCTTTTAATAAAAGAGCACGTTTGCTCCTCCTTAAAATGCCCCACAGGGATGTTCTCCACCCAGGCCCTTGTTTGGGACACTGCTGGGATTCTGTCACACATCCCTTTCTTCCCAGTCACCACGAGTCAAGTAGAAATGATAATTTTCAAGCTGCTTACAGTAACATTAAAATTATTTCATTTTCTGTAGAAGCTTTTTTGTGACATGAAGATGTCTAATTTTATCTTTATGTTCATTTTATTACACAATGAATACATATTTATTATAAAGAGAAAATACAGATGCCCATAATCCATGATTCAAGGGTAACCCATTAATTTCCTGATGTTTTTTTCTTCTAGAATACTTTTCTATGCTTAGATTAAAAAAAAAAAAAAATACATGTGTATTACAAAATGGAATCATACTGTCTCATAATTTGCCCTTTCCCACTCAAAAGCATCTTTCCTTGTTAATAAATATACATCGATCACATAATTTGTCTCTGAGAAAGGTAGTGTCCAGTTACCCGGTCAGAATGCCACTTTGATTCCCAGGGCTCCTGTCTGGGCAGGGCAAGGGCAAAGCAGGTAAAGTTGGAGACCAAGATGACTCATCCATTGTGTGGCAGGAGGTACACAGAGCCAAGAGTGCCGCTGGCAGTAAAGGTAGCACCAGCTTCCAGAGCTGGTTGGTTTTTTTTAATTCTCTCTTTCCCAATAAGAAAACTTTTTATGCTGCTTATATCTCTGATCCATACATGTTTCCCCAGTGAATCTTGTCACCTAAGTTTTAACACTAAAATCAAGCAGTTCATAACTTAAAAAAAAAAAAATCTTTATTAAAAGTATTGCATATGTCCCTTTTCCCCTACTGACCCCGTTGCCTGCTCGCTCCCTCCCCCCCAAACCTTCCCCTCAGGCTGACCTGTAACTGGTTTTCAAGCCTTGTAGCTACTTGATGAAGTGGCTCTCAGCGTGTGTTCAGAAGAGGAACAGGGAATCTTAATTCCCAATATAGCTGCTAATCCTTTTTAATTCCCCTGAAGTCGTTCACTACTAGGTGGTTTGCCTTTTCTTTCTCAATTGAAAGACGGGTGAGTCACAGACTACGGGAATGGAGGGCAAGAAGGTAGTATTGGAATTTGTGCTTTGTTGGGAAGGTGGAGCTGCTCTATTTAGGAGTACTTTCAGAATGTGCAACGCTGAATTTTATTTAAACAAACATGTTTCCTCTGTTATTGTGGAACAACATTGACAGCTTCCAGGTTGTTTTCTATCTGTCTCACATTTTGAAATTAATTCCATTTTGGCCCAGCTGAAAGGGAGCTCTTCTGAGATATTAAATTTCTGCCCTTCAATCAAGAGTGTGTGTGTCAGTGCTTTCATATGAAGCCTGGATATTTCTCAGCCAAAGGGTCTCTAAAATAGTGACTTTTCTGATAACTGAACATTTACATATGGACAAACATGTAGAGAAGAGCAGAAAAAAATTAGATTATTTTTATTAAGGTATTATATATGTACATATCTTACCATTGCCCCCCACTCCCATAATTGCCCTCCCTCCCCAGAGTTTTGTACCCCAAAAATTAGATTTTTACCTACAATTTGACTGTTTCTATGCATGTAAATTGTCAGATATAATGAAATATTGTTTATGCAAATACATGTAAAAGTCTGGTGACTTCTTTAAATTTCAATCTTTGATGCTACTCTCCACAATTAAAGTATTGTGTAGTTTCAGCTATATTGCCTTTTTGTTTAGAAATAATTTTAAAAAAAAAAAGCAGGATATACCATATAACTTTGTGGCATGTAATGATGAACTTTTATTAGTGCATATTTACAGAGTTTAAAGTACCTGGTGTTTGCTTTTTTTTTTCTTCTCATTTCCCCCATTGATCTTTGGATAAAAAATCTCTTGTCTCCAATGTAACTGTCATTAGATCTGGGCTCTCCTTTCTCCTCATTTTGTCCTTATAAGGCTATCCTGTTTTATCACTTCCTGCTTCAGCTCCTGACTTTTTCTCTCTTCCCCTCTCCCTCTCTGGGTGGATGCTTTTTCTCCATGTGGCAGGGCTGTAACTGTTCACAGCTGTGTGAAACGCCCGTGGACCTGGGGCAGCTTGGAGTTTTAACTTTCATTTTACAAAGAACATCATGTTTGATTGTTTCAGCAGGCAAGTCATAACTGGCACTTACTTCTTGTTCTTCTAGAACACCGAAAATCTCCCCCAGCACTATAGAAGGGGAATCCTGACTGCGTTAAAGAAGAAGTGGGAGAACCCAGTGCTGGGAGCTGAGTCTCACACAGACTCTCCGCGAAACAGCAGCACTGAGGTCAGACACAGAGACGACCATCCTCCTGCTGAAGTGGTGAGCAACTCTGCCTCTGGGGCTGAGGCTAAACGAGGGGAACAGGTCCATCCCAGACCCAGACTTGGATCACCCGCTGAAGCCCACATTCAGGATCCGTATCCCCGCATTGGGGACAGTGACCCTCTAAAAGACCACTCAACAGAAAAGAACAAAATGGAAAACTGTCTAGTAGGAGAATCCAGGCATGAAGTAGGAAAGCCTGAAATCAGTGAAAATACAGAAGCTACAAACAAAATAGAGAAATACAACGTTCCGCTGAACAGGCTTAAGATGATGTTTGAGAAAGGCGAACCATCTCAAACCAAGGTAAGGACTGAGAGCATTTAAGACTTGATACAGTCATTTCACATGAACAAAGCTGGTTTTCTAATCCAGACAGTTTCAATAGTGTGGAGCATGCGGTCTGTATGTCTTGAATCAAGTTTAGTGAGTTAATTAAAAATCTCGATTTGCATAGATGGTAAGATTTGTGAGGTTCCAACCCAATTTCATGTGAAATCAAGCTCACACAGGGGCTTCAGGTTGATGTCTAGAAATGAAGAGAGTCTGACGCCAAGGTGATTTTGTGTTTTTGTACGCTTGCCCTTTTAATTTGTCTTCCTGTGTCTTTTGTCATTTGTCGGTTTGGGGGTGGAATTACTGCTGAATCGTTCTCTTGGACACAGCTGCAGGCCGAGTGTTAGGGCCAGATTTTAACGTTAAGACTGAGGCTTAGTTGTCTCTGCTCGCTGAATCCTTTCTCCTCTTCTCAACTTCCTCATCTGTGCCTTCCAACAAATGTTTTCTATCAGCTAAAATCCTCTCCCAGGAAAAATCAATGAAGATAGCCAGACTAGCTGTAGCCTTCAGGATTTTTGACTTGCAAATGCACAGGATTGCATTTTCCTACAACTGTTAATGAAATTTGATCCTTCGTGTGGATTGCAGACCAGGTCCCCAGAGGGAATTACTTAACTAGAAAATGAGTTACATATGCTGGTGACTTATAACACAATCCAGGGGCTGCAGAACTGGTAAATTTTTCCAGTTTTCTCATACTTTCCTGCATATCTGGCTTTGTACATGAGGATGGTTTGTTATAACAGTCATTATAATGAAATAAACAGATATGATGGGTAGCAAAGCCATCATTTACTTTAGATTCCATCTAAATGGGAAAGCTGAATTTTTTTAAAGCTAAATAGTTGGTCCAAATCCCTATATTTGTGAAGTAATGGTATGAAGCATTCTTTCTGAGATAAAAAAAAAAAAATTAGATAACTATCCTAATCCTCAATTATATATGGGGTGACTTAGTCAATTTCTTCCCATAACTTACAGTTCCTGGAGCTTTCCTGCCTAGAAACATTCTTGAGTGTTTAGGGCTCATCTGTTTGAGAATGTAGAAAGAATTTTTAAAGGTTTTCAAACCTAGAACCCTGCTCTGTAAATGAGTTTTAGCTCTGTTTTAACACTGAAACCAGTTGGCAAGAGATGTAACCACAAAGCAGTTTTACAACTTTCCTTAAACTCTCATCCTTCCCAACTTTTAGTCCTCTAGGCCCGCCAAGTCCCTCTTTCTCCTTTATGGTCTTAATAAAAAAATTTAAATTTAAATGGGAAAAAGAATTTTAAATGGAAGGAAGAAAAATGTCAGAAATCCTAAATAGAGAGGAAGGGGCTTTGTTGTGACTCAAAGCGCCATTGTAAGTCGTCTCCTCCCAGACCCTGCTAAGGGGCAGACCAGCTGATGTCATGCCAGCACACACAATGTAGGTTCAGTGCAAAAGGCTGCTGCATGTCAAAACTGGCCTAAGGTGGGAAATGACTGGGATTGCAGCAAACAAAAATGCTGATTATGTGTAAGGATCCGGTGAGAGACTTTTTTTCTCATAAGTGCCTGCTGAGAGATGGGTCAGAACAAGCCTGTCTCTTTGTGGCTGGTCAGAGAGGAGAAAAAAAATTCCTTATATAAAGAATTGTGAGTTCCCAACCCAATTTCATAGGCACTGAGCAGCTAACGGTCTAGGAAGATTGGGGGTGGGGTGATGGTTGTCCTAAGATTAGACTTTTTAAAGGGCCTTTTTAAACTTCTTAAATAGTCATTTGTCACTTAATGGACTGCTAATGGAGTGTAACACACAGCACTCCTTGGTTTCATTAGCTGTGTCTAAATAAGTGGCATTATCCATGTTGGAAACAGTATAGATTACTTTGAAAAAAGTTTTGTCTAATATTTCAATAAAACTGTTAAAATTTTGGTTATTGTTATAATTTCAGCTTTAATAAGGATAAGGCTATAATCAATTTAATTAATTTGTTGCTCCACTTATTCATGTATTCCATGATTTTCTAATATGTGCCCTGACCAGGCATCGCACTGCAACCTTGGTGTATCTGGAAGATGCTCTGTTGTAGGTGGCAGGAACGGCACCAGGTGTCTGACCAGTGGGATTAGACCAAGCTTGGGTTCAGCAACCTCGGTACTTGGGTTCTGGCTAGGAAAGAATTCATAGCTAGACCCAAACTATAAGAGAACACTTATTGGGTAAATTACAGAAGTAGAAAAAGTAATTCCTAGAAGAAATAGGCTTAGGAAACAAGTTCTAAAGGTAAAGGAAGGGCCTCTGGAGCTTGGGAGTGAAGACGCTAATTGAAACGTGAAGGGTGGGGAGTGGGGGCAGCACTGGGTCCTCTCTTCTGTTTTAAGGGTGGAGACTTTAGGGGAGTTCCCAGGGGAAGATCCTAATAGAACATTTCCAGGTGTGTCCATTCAGGATTGTGGTCTCCACTGGTTGATTGGCAGGTAGGGCAGGGGGTCATTATTCCATGCAGCTGGTCCTGAGGTCAGCCTTGGCTGGTTTTGTTACTTATCTGGGCCTGGAGCTGAAATACAACTGAGGCCTAAATGCTATCTCACGGTAGGAAAGGTCAGGGGGTACAAACCTCATGATAGTGATATGCTAGAGGAAGTAAAGTCATCCTGGGGGCAAGGTCCCACCCTACAATTGATTGTCCATTGCTAGCTACCTGGGGCTTTCCACCCTGGTGATCTTCTGTACCTGGCCCATTGTCCTTGCTCTGCTCATGTTTGTCTGCCTACAGCATAACCAACAGAGCTACCTGGCCAGGGCCTCATGGTATATTTTAGTTCTTCTAGTTAGTCATATTTTAGTTGTGTTCACTTGTTTTAGATTACGAAGGTAAAATAGTACATTGGCTAAAACAGAAATAACTGAAATAAAAATGGAAATTTCCCTTGTCCCATCCCCTTTTCACTTCTTTGCTATTTCTCTCCCCTTAGACTTCTAAACCCCATGAATTTCCCGTAGAATTTCTGTTCCTCTTATTATCAGGATCATTATATGAATGGCTACCATAAAAAAAAAAATAAAAAATAAAAAATAAAAAAAAAAACTTCACTTGTTAATAGGAGAGAACAACTGTCCTTCTTCAGACAGTCCAACATTTTTGTGGTTTTCCTTCTTATAAGTTCCTGGAAGTGACGCCTAGTTTTTTGTGAAGCTTTATATAACACTGGCACATACCAATGTGTATGTGTTGGTGTAATGGAGCAAGCCCTTGAGAAAATAAGGAAAGTAAGTTAAAGTCTGATCTGTGGTCATCAGCTATTTTATCTATAATCAACGAATCTATAATCTACGTCAAAAAAACATTTTATATTTGCCTTCTTGAAAAATGGGTAGGTGTCTATAGGGAACCTCTACATTGTTATAAAATTACCCATAACATTTTATCTTCTTCTTTCAATAATAATTGTGTGTGTGTTCCCGTATCTACTTAATGTCATCTTAGTAAGATTCTTTCTTCTGCTTTCTTAATGTCTCAAGTAAATTAGTTGGAATTAAATCCCAAGAAAAATACAGCTTTGAGGATGTTCATAATTGGTATCATTTGCATATTTTTGAATCATAATTTTAAGATGGGCTTAAGGAGGAAAGGGATTTGAATAACTGTCAACATTACAGTGGTCATCCTAATGTAGGGTAGTATATCTTTAATTTGCTTATCAGAATTATAAATCTTAAATTGATCCAGCATCCTACCTCCATTAGATACATTGTTAGTGCCTTAAGTACAGATAACTGGTTTTGTTAAATAAACATGAGAATTATCCTGTTTTTCTGTCAATGCTATCTTTCTTGTATATCTTATTAAAATTAAATTTTGCTGATTTATTATTATTCACTCTTGAATAGTTTATAGCTTCTGTGACTTCAAATGTAAATAAGAATAACCTTTCTATAGTGAATAATTTTTCATAAAGACCTCGTACTAGTATAAATAATTTTTATTTATCCTTATTTAGTAACTGAGTAACTGTTTGGTCTTTTGTGGTAAGATGATAATGGACCCAGGTATAAAGGTGCCAGTCAAGGAATTCTGATATTTTTCACTGTTTGTTGCCCTAAATAGCTGACTTTGATGTGCCAACTGGTGACCAATAATCTCTTTTCTGCTTACTTTCATGCCAAATAACTACTTAACAGGTTTCTAATTAGTTTTCATTACAATAAAACATATTGAAAAGTAAAAGCAGGAAACTGGAACATTCTCTAAGCAATGTTGACTACATTAGAGTTTGGAGGGGTCAGAAGACATCATTTACCTCCCAAATATTTAGCACTTCTGTCTTCTTGCTATTGGACTCAATCTTGGATTAGACAACATGATATGCATCCAGATGAATGTATTAGTCATTTCCTCTAGCCTTCTGACTTATCAATGAGTTACAAGGTGTGAGAAATCCCTATCATGTTCGTAATCCAGCTCACTGCTCTGGGGCAGTTAAGATATTAAAATCTATATTTTATAAATGGAAACAGTCAAGGTCAGAGAACTTAACTGATATACCCAATGTACTGTGGCTGATTGATATCAGAACAAGGACTGAAATTGTGTAGTACCCTTTCTACCATATTACACTATCTTCATGATTATTATAATAACTGCTTATTGGATAAAAGCAACTGGCCATGGCCTTATACAGTTTTGAAATCTAAGGAAATTAAAACATTAAAAATTAAAAAATTAAAAATATTCTCAAAAAATTTAGCTCTTTATCATTTCTCTTGCCTCATTTTATAGTCTCTTAACTGAATAAAAAACATGAGGGCAATGAAGAGAAGAAATACATTATAATACAGCAGATTTATACTAAAACTCTTGAATTAGAAGTTTATAGTTTGGGGAAGTTTGGTTTTTTTTTTTTTTTTAATATATTTTATTAATTTTTTACAGAGAGGAAGGGAAAGAGATAGAGAGCCAGAAACGTCGATGAGAGAGATACATCGACCTGCTGCCTC